ACGGTTCTCGTTGTTTCTCATTAAAGTTCATTAAAGTAAATAGTGTAAATTACATCGCTAATGTCATAGAATAGCACATTGTAACGTAGTGTTACAACGTGCCCCACCTGCGAAACTGGAGTTTAAAACCAGTTGCTGTCTTCTGCTAGTTAGCGAAGCTTTAAAAAAAACTATCTAAACTGATAAATAACAGATTGGAGATTAAAATAATAGCAGATTTGTCTAATTTTAAATGATACTAACTGCTAGTTGACATGTAGTTGCAAAGTTACTTACTGTTAATAGAATGTCTAAAGTGGACTATCGAAATAAAGTGTTACCGCCACAAGACTTAAAACTTGGAACTAGAGTGACAAAATTAACAAAATTAAATTTACTAACATTTACTGTACAAAGTAATACAGAATTTAGCAATGCAGGACTCTTGTCATGACCTTGTAACACCAGTAAACACAGTTATGTGCAATGACACAGGAAGGTGACTTTTAATTTTAATAATATCTAAAATGTTTATAATAGGGCTGGGTAATATGGTATTAAACATAAAGGCAAATATTGTACAAATTAGTAATATATTTAAAATATGAACATATTTACTGACATAGCCTATCGCTCGAGACTTGCTGATATAAAAATTGTAATTGAACCTTACTTGGAGTATCACTGGTACACAATGCACATGTATTAATATTAAGCCTAAAATGTGTTTTAATGTCACTATTGATGAGGATTGTATGATCTTTGAATAATATTGGTCTTCAAATACAGGATAATTAAAGGTATAATTAAAGGTTACAATAATTGTACTTTAGCACAATCAAATATCAGCACTTCAGCACTACTTCCGCACAAGTACAAGTGCATTAAGAACAAAATTAGTTGTTTCAGTTTAGCAGACTTTAAGTATAGCAGTTTAGTATACTAAAAGTACAATCCCAGGGTATTTTTATTAAGTAAATAAATATGGAAATGCATTTGAAGTATACATAGCATTAGGGCTGCACAATTAATCGAATTTCTAATCGCGATTACAATTATGGATGCCACAATTACGTAATCGTTCAAAGCGGCAATTATGTGCAGCCCTACATAGCATGAAATACATGTACCTCAAATTGATTTTAGTATATTTTTCACAAGGGTTGTCTTAAACATATCCTATATGTTCAGAATGAATATAAAATATAAAAAGTATTTCATAGGTCATAATGAAAATGACTATGACACCAGTAGTGGGCTACTATTAAAAGTAAATGTTTTGTAAAAACTGCAAATAAAATATCAGCACCTTTCAGCCTATCACCATCATGGAAACATGAAATATCAGGCATACAGTAGTAGTTCTTTACAGGTTTTTTGCATTCCACAGCGTGTCAAAGATTGCAGCGTGCCATAACACAGGCAAAACCTGACCCTTCACACAGACACACACACCTTACTTCAAAACAGGTCAGACTGAATATCAAAGCAGAACAATCTCCAGCAGATGACACAAATTTTCACACAGAATTTTCAAACAGATGTATTATTTCTGTCAGGATATGTCTATCCACATGCATATTCACTCTGATAAATAAGAGTGTGAATGTTGGCTGAACAGTGTGTCTGAGCTTCATGAGAAATGCAGGAGGTCTGGGAGACAGAGATTCATTAGCGGGACGTCTCCACACTTCACACCCGTCTCGTACCTCCAGCTGTGATTCCTCTTCCAGAAACCAAATGCATCACTCACAAACACAGTCTAATGCTGTCCAGCAGGTGTGAGAAAAACTCCATTTACACTGACTACCAATAAACAGCAATCTCAAAAAAGCAAAGTACACTGAGTGAAGGGAAGGAATGGTGAAATGGAGAAGAAATTGTGAAAATGTACGAAAACATTTTTTGTTGTTAAAAGTGTGCATTTTAGACATTACGTGACTACTTATATATATATATATATATATATTGTGACGAACGTCCCGAAGCTTCATCAGCGTCGCCCTGGAAACAAGCGAGGAGCACCTGGCCATCATCATCACAGGCTGATCGGTCACAGCTGCACCTCATCAGGCGGCGGCTACATAAGCCACACAAGCCCTGCCGTCTAGGAGATTCCTCCATGAGACTGAGCACTAACTCGCCCTCTCACTTTTCCCACAGAAAGCAGCGTGTGACCGACCAGCCCCACAGGAGCACTGCACGGACCCTCTGCACTGGGAAGACGGAAGAGAGCACTCACGGCACCGGAGCACCTACCTGGACCTTTCTCACTAACACCCATCACCCCAATAAATCCACCCTCCGGGGTATTGATTGAGATTACTTGTCGTGTGATTCTTCACCCCGTTACAATATATATATATATAAACAGAGCAGTGTTTAGACAGAGCCACAGTATAGCTGTATATACTATAGGCTACTACATCATAATGTAATAGAATAGGAGAAAGTATTTTAGAACATAGGTTAGTTATTACGTTAATTTAGGCTTAAGTTTTATCTTATAGTTTTAATCATCTATATTTAGCGGGTGTTGACAAATTATAATAATATCAGGCTTGCTGTTTTACCTACATATATTGTTGTCTGTTAAATGTTCTACATTAACAAAAAAAAAAATATATATATATATCTTAATTAAAATAAATCTGAAATACAATCAAATTCTTAAGATTAGATGGAGAACTTAAACTTAAAAAACTAATTAGAAATGTTGCATTGACAACTAAATAAACGATGTTAAACCACTAAAATAAAAAAATAAATGATGATTAGAAATATTAAAATAATAATAACATAAAAGCACATAAAATTACTAAAACTTACACTAGAATTTAAATTTAAACAAAAATATAAAAAAGCTAAATCAAAATATTAGTAAATGCGATAATATAACATAAAATAATAATAAAACAACAGTGACCCAAAAACAGCCACTGGGTGTCAATGATATACAGAGAATGCAGACAACCCAGAAAAGGAGTTTTTAGAATGAAAAAGCAACTATGTTCTCAAATACCTGTTCTAGTAATTCACATTAGTGCAAATAATTGCAATGCTAATAATTTTGCAATAAACCCATTCTCTTAACTTTGCAAGCACAAAGTGGAAAATAAAATTGTCAAAATGTTTAAGGTTTCTTGGTCACACTATGTCCTAGTGGTACACCAGGTGATGTGCACTCTGGAGAACTGCACTCAGAAACAAAACAAAAAAAATCACATTCATGTTTTGTATTGAATAAACTTCTTTAATATATTACATGAGGACCTGCTTTAGTTTTTGCTGTCTAGAAGCACCATTGTGCTAAAGCGAAATAGAACTTCTGTTGTTTTTTAGTTTTGTTTTTAATTACAGCCTCTCTTGATGAATGTCTTTCCATAGTGATGGGAAACTGAGGCTTTCTGAACCGTTTGAGGCTTTCATGAAACTGTGCCGAAAAACGGTTCATTACTCGAAGCTTTTAAAACAGTGCTCATTAGCGACTTATGGTGGTCAGACTTGGTTTCTCCACCAAATCTAACAAAACATTGCGGAGCAGAGGATGGGCTGTGGCTAGAAGGGATACAGCAAAAACCGGAAGCTAAGAACAAATTGAATTTTCTACCTATTAGATTGTGTTTTATTAACGTCTACACCTACCCCAACCCTAAACCTACCCCTTACAATAATGCAAAAATAGTAATTGTTGTACACAGTGTGAGAAAAATTTAGCTGATGTGCGCATGCCCAGTAGTTTTTGCTGTATGCCATCGAGCCTTAACCCAGAGGATGGTTTGAAAAAGTTTTTAATCTGTGCCAACTCGTGTCATG